ACGCTTGCGCTCCATTTGCTTCTGCACCGCCGGTTCGTCTCCTGGGAGACCATGGTGTCGTCATCCATCTGCGGTTCCTGAATGAAACAGGCTGCAATTGAGAGACAAGATTGGATTTTACACGATGAATTTAAAATATCCCCATTGCGTGCCCGATTTCAGCAAGTAGAGTGTTGATGAAGAGGGTGTGCAGACGGATATTCAAGAGGGAAAAGGTGTCTGTGCCATTCACGTCAAAAGAAAGAGAAAGGATTGAAAACAAACCCTGACTCCTAACACCAACAGGGTTTGTTTTGTTTTGTTTCGCTCCCTGATTCTTGCCCGTTACCTGGTTTAGACCCAAGGTTCTAAATAACCAGCTGGATGATTTGCTTCTAAAATTAGAAGCCTTTGACTGCTCTGGTGCAGGCATGGGTTTTGTTTTGTTTTCCAAACCCTAAGAAGAAAATGTACTTAGGATTCTTGGCCTTTGAGTTTTATAATTTGTGAAAAATTGGTTTCTTTAAAAACATTTTTAAAAAAGGATAACCCCATCCTATTTTCCTGAGGGGAGAAACAATTTGAATACCTTTGTTTTTAAGTAATATGCCTTGGAATTTCCTGTTAAAATTAGGCTTACTGGAAGAAAAGGCTGCATTGTTGGTTGGCTGCCAACCTTCGTCTCTAACTGGTCTTTAAAGCGAGCATATCTCTATTGAGCAACACACAGAAGAGTTTAAAATCCATTGTAAAAATTGGATCAAATGAATCGGATTTCTTGGATGCTATCTTCGGATCTTTATCTTGAAGAAAAGAGCCCTGGCATCCTGTTCACCTGGTCTGCCACCAACTGCCATCAAGTCGAGTCTGACTCAAAGCGAAACTCTATAGGGTTTCCAAGTCTGTAAATTTTTATGGGAGCAGATAGCCTCATTTTTCTCTACCCAAGTGGCTACTGGGTTTGAACCACTGACCTTGCAGTCAGCAGCCCAATACTCACCAGATAGCACCACCACGTTGCCACTTTGCTGTCACCGTGAGGATTTACTGGTGGTTTGTGATATTAAGACAAAAGAATTCTTTAGGATTTGAGTTTACCCCCCTGTCCGTAAGTCTTAATAGGATGTTTTAACACCTTCTGCCTAATATTTCATGAGGATGTAAACATTAAAGATTACTTATCACTCATAAAGGGCAAAACTTAAAGATACAGTAGGTTTCTCTTGACCAGAGGCTGTGGTTGGAGATATTAACCCCGAAATTATTTGTGATTAGTCTCTTGGTACCTCTTCTGATTCAATTGCAGACTGCCTTCATCCAAAACACAGCTTGTGGTTTCTCTGACTCAGAAACACCCATGTACCAACAAATATCCGGAAAGTCAAGATAAAACCTGGTTTGAGAAAGCCAACCCTTTCATTTAGTATACAAGGGATAAGCGTACACAGTTCTCAAGGTGACAATGAAGTGAACCTTTTCCCAGGTTGCAATTTATCTCACCAAGGGATCTATATGTATAAGAGACACAAGGATGAGGCAAACTAACCAAATCTACAGAGAAACACTAAATACTAAGAATACAATTCCAGACATAAAGGGGTGGGGGAGAGAAATTAGACTCACCACCTCCCTCCCCTTTGCTGTTCTACTTAAATTGCATGAGCACGAGATCATAAACCAGTGTCTCTCAAGAGAAGTGTGAGGATCTGGGTGGTTGTCTTCTTATCTATGGTAGAAACTAGGCTGGTTGCAAGCCTGCCTATTGTAGCAAAAGGCCACTGGCCCTGTCCAAACATGGCTGAACTTCAGGACTAAGAGCTATGCCAAAGTCAGTGAAAGAAGCGATTTGTGCTGGAAGAGCAGTCCGCATAAAGGGCAACCAAGGACCACTTAGAATGGACTTTTTTTCTTGGTGTTCTGGCTTTGCATGCTAGGCTCGGAGGCATTGGAAAGATGGATCAAGAGGAGAAAACTCGTTCCCTTTTGATTTATGCCAATCGCTAAAAACCCTAGTCAATATGTCTCTGAAATCAGAATTGATGTATAGATGAGTGTTAGTTTGTAATTGACCCAAACCAACACTCTTGTATTAATAGGGCTCTTTCTATAGGAGAGTAAGTAAAAAAGTATTGCTACCGGGGTTCAAGTGCATACATGCATGGGTGTATGTACGCCACGCAAATATGCTCACACGTGATGGAACCATCAGCGGGTGGCTTTAGTTCTCTCAGGAATACAGTTGTCTTAGTCTTGTTAAGGTGCCTTCAATAGTAACAACAACAAAAGGAGGATACTTTTTGTGCTGGAAGAGGAAAAATGATTTTCAAGTCCAGGCTAGAACTCAATCTTAAGAGGACGTCTTTCTAAATCATCGATGCTTTTCAAGAAGTTTACAAGAATGCTGCCCCCACATAGGCAACCGCTTTTAAATGGAGCAAGCATGTTTAAGATCAGGAAGACATTAGTTGAATTCAAGGCCAAACCGCTAACTAGGAAGGTTAAAGCAAGGTCTGGGAATTCCAGAGGGGTCTTCTTGGGAGACTTTCTGAAGCACACAAGACAAGCACAGGGTTGGATTGTGAAGACGTTTTAAGAAAATTGAAATGTGCAGGAAAATTGCACTGGGTTTTCCCATCATGACAACACAATTGCTGATTCTTCTAAGTTCGCAAGAAGAGAGCAGAATTATTTGAGATAAGTTAAGGGTTGTTGTTGTTGTTGTTGTAAGTGTTGCTGTCAGGTGCCATCAAGTCGGTTCCCACTCAGAGCGACCCTCGTACAACAGAAGGAGACACTGCTGCACCCTGTGCTGTCCTCACTACTGTTCCAGTCGAGCCCGTGGCTGCAGCCCCGGCATCCATCCATCTCGTTGAGGCCCTCCTCTTGGTCAGGCCTCCACCTTAGGGTTAGCGAGATGGAAGTACTGCCTGCGTAGTGTATAGACATGAATGGATGATATGCTGAGAAACAATAGAGCCACATTTTGAAATTCTTATTTAACAGACATTTCTAGTTTTGTAGCAATACTTTTTTACCTACCCTGGTATGTGGAATATGAATTTTTATATTAAAATGAATGTAATATATTTTAAGAATCAGAAACTTTAGATAGACTACATATGTTTGCTGTGTGTCATAAAGGACAGCCTGAAGAGTTTTGTCCATTAAAGCTTCTCTATACAATCTAATCAAGAGTCCCATGGCAAAGATTTGGAGGGCATATTTAATCCACTTAAGTTTCAACATCATTGATACATATATTTGCAGCTATTTAAATGAAATGAGTTGGAATTTATATCTCAAGCTATGTCTTAAACCTTTCATCTACTATGGTTATGCATGAGGTGGGTAGAATACAGAGTAATTTTTCAAGACTAATCACAGCATATATTCTGGTAGTTGTTGTCTCCTGAGAATTAATTATTTTCAGAGGTTCCACTTGCAAATAGACCAGTCAGGCCACCAGCTTCTCCAGCTAATTGTAAGGTCACGTGGGGCAGAATTGCATTCAAACTGGATTCCTTGCCAGTTGCGTTGAACTATGTTTTATAGAACCTGTGAAGCTGGGTGCTGTATTCATAGCTACTCCTCGGGTCGTCTGCCTCTAATAAAACCCAGAAGAACTAAATCAACTTTCACTGGGTATTCCAGGAGCCTTGGTGGCATGGTGGGTTACACAGTGGATTGCAAATGGCAGGGGTGAGCAGTTAGCAACTATCAGGCACTCCATAGGAGAAAGAGGAGGCTTTCTACTCCCATAAAGATGCTCAGAAACCCATAGAGGGCAGTTCTACCCTGTCCTATAAGATCGCTGTGAGTCTTGACTCGACAGCAGTGAGATAATCTGGATTTAGATAAAATTGCTTATTATTCTCTCCTTTTACTCTTAGCAATAGACAGTAATATCTCAAGACTATTGTTATTAAAACTAGCATAGTTGTCCAAACTATAATGTTATTTACTTTAAAGGTCAATGTGAACCAATTCATTCTTTAAACCAAAGAATATTTTTCAATCATGTGGATTTTTTAGGTTTCTACTCTAATTGATGAAATAAAAGTCTACAAATGAAGTCCTTTCAGTAATATTATCTCTTAGCTGACACAAATGCCAATTTCTAGTCCCTAGTGAATAAGTTGGGAGATCCCTGAAAGCCTTTGTATGTTGACACTGTGTAGTGTGGTGGGAAGAATCTGGGCATTTCTTGACAGCTGTCCCTGGCACTCCTCCTGCTGGCAGCCTTACTGTCCACCCTTCTCCTCCCCCTGACCCCGTGCCTTCTTCAGGGTTTGTGTAAGTGACGACAAGGGCTCTCTCCACCTACCATTTATGGAACCCTACTGCAGGAGAGGGCAGCACAGTGGGGGTTTTCTGCTAAGAATTGCCGCTGTATAATCAACCATTGACCCTAGACCTATGGGAGCCTACTCTTGGGAAATGTTGACTTCAATCCCAATTGCAGTCTAGTTTTTGAAGCTAACTGAGGCAGAGAGAGACGTGTGAATCATCATGGCAACTTTTCCCAATTGGGCTTTGCCTATAATGTAAAGATCGAAAATCTTGGGGGCAGAAATACGAAGCAAAAACATTAGCTGTGTAACCCATTAAAATGTCACACTGAATTCTCCATGGTACTCAAAATGAATGGTGAATTATTGTGTTTTTAGTTCTTAGCGACTGGTTTTTTATTACCTCTCCATCTTATTCTTTATTTCCATTGTAGCACCCTCATAGACAACTTGCAGTTAAGTTCCGTTTTATCACTCATGCTTCCTCCCAACTGTGTGTCAATCTAATTTCACTGAGCAAGGCCGAGGAGAAAACATGGAAGGCAGCTATATGAGTTGAGAGGATGATGAACATTGATAGATGGACCAGATAGTTCCAAGCCACCTTTTAAAGAAACGAAGTAACCACTCCATTTAAAACTATCTGTGCGAATGCTCTGAAGTTTGGAAGGAAGCTAGTCGACCCCCCTTTTGTGGTTACCTCTCTAAGGGCCTGCTTTATTTCATTGCCAGATGACTCCGAAGTCTAAAAGGAAGAGCATCCACAGCCGAATGCTGCGGCCTGTGTCCAGAGCCTTTGGTAAGTGAGTTTTTGGCTAATGCCAGTCATTTCCTCCTGATTTTGAAGCACCCTTTCAGCCAGAACCTTGGACCACTTCAGGGATCTTTGGAAAAAGAAACCATGGGGCAGTTTCTGCACACACGGAGTCACCATGAGTCAGCACCAACCTAACAGCCACTAAAAGCAAATGCTGTGCCATCAGGTCAATCAATCCCACCTCACTTCGCCCCTCAGGACAGAGCTGCCTCAGAGTTCCCCAGGCTGCCCTCTTTCTCCCACAGAGCAGCAGCTCCTGGGTTTGAACTGCCACCCTTTCAGTTAGCCCCCGACTGCTTCCCCTTTGTGCCACCAGGGTTCCTGGAGTACAGATATGATCCATGCGTAAATATCCAGAGAGTTGGCAAATGGGGCTTTTCTGTGCCACATGAGACTTAAAATTACTTTGGGGGATTTTTCTTTTTCTTTTGAATCGGCCTGTATGCCATACGTTTTGGTCTGGGGGTGTGCTTTATTTTAGAAATGGAGTTTGACCTGGATAAAGCGCTGGAAGAGGTGCCGATTCACATCGAAGACCCGCCCTTCCCGTCCGTCAGACAAGAGAAGCGGAGCTCAGGCTTCCTCTCAGAGTTGCCCTCAGAGGAAGGCAAGAAGCTGGAGCACTTTACCAAGTTACGGCCCAAACGGAATAAGAAGCAGCAGCCCACCCAAGCAGCGGTAGGTGACCTGGAGGGGCTTCTTCTCTCCCTCACTCTTGCTTCCTGTTCTTCGCATGTGGACGGCTGGGTGCATCGGACAGTGTCCAAGTGGTGGGTGTCCGTGGGTGGTGCGGAGGGTGCACACATCCACCTGTTAAGCACAAGGGGGAGGTTGGAATCTGAAGAAGAGCTGGAGAAGAGCTCCCTCCCCCAAGTCATTGGGGGTTGGCTGCCTGGAATGCAGTTCTACACGCAGCTGCCAGGGCGAGGCGGAGGCGAAGTCGAGCTGATGCCAGCAGGCTGTGCAGTTTGGAGAAGGCAGTCTGACTGAAGTGTTCAACTCATAGAACAGGGCTGCTCCTGCACGTCCTCAGTTTACCTCTGGAGGGAGAGAAGCAGCCTACAGCAGCGGCATTTTGCAGTTTGTGGATGGCTAGATAGAAATTAAACACCAAGTAATCCGTTTGTTATGTAAGCATTTGCTTTTGGAGTTATAATCCACTGGTCTTCTGGTAGGGGACCTCTGCTTTGGATTGCCCGGTAACTGATATCGTGGGAGCCAGTTGTGTGACCTCAGCATCATGAGGTGCTCCTCCTCCTACACCCACTCAAGGCAAGGCTGACTCAGAGTCACCCTGTAGGACCGGAGGGAGCGGCCTCTGTGAGTTCCTGAGATAGCAGCTCTTGACAGGAGGAGAAAACCGCCTCTTTCGCCCGCACAGGGGCCAATGGTTTCAAAGGACCGACCTTGCGTTAAGCAGCCCAACGTGCAGGCACTTTGCCACCAGGGCTGCTCCTCCAAGAGAAGATTGAATCCCGTGTGCGAATGCGTCTTTGTGTAATTACTGCTGACTCTTTCCAATGGATGTCCCTCCTCTCCTTCACAGCCAAGGTTTTTTTAAGTATGTTTATGCCTAGTGCCGCTCTTGCTCACCTTCCTGTCACTCCACAAGCCATCCAAATCTTCACTGGATGCCTCTTGTTTGGAGTCTTAGGTGATGGTGTGCGGTAAGCATTGGGCTAGTAACCCCAAGGTTCATGGTTCACACCCACCAGCCACTCAGCAGGAGAGAGATGAGCTTGTCTGCTCCCACAAGGACTTAAAGTCTTGGAAACCCTATTGTAGAAAAGGAATCCAGTCCTATTAGATTGGGACCTCCCTGCTTCAGTAGGACCGCAAGTGAACGGATTGAATCTACAAAGACTGATTTCCAGCAAGATTATGTTCACAGTCAGCAGGAGTTACAGGTACTTCACCATATATTTGGGGGGGCGGGGCAGGAACATAATCTAATCCATAACACTGCCGCATCCTTGTCACACAGTGTTTTCCCATCATTCTTCTCCCCGTCAGGAAGCTCCTTGTAGACAAGATGTGTGATTTATTATCGGTGATTCATCCATAGTACTCAATATGTCTTCAGACTGTACTAAATGCTTAATAATCTTTGATGAATATGTGAGTAACTGGAGGCGTGCATAACTAGAGACATACATGGTTGAAAGTCACAGCAAATGATCTGCAAGGCCAACATGTACTCATACTCGATTGGGCTTTCATTGCATCTGATTGGCTTTCCTCCTTTGAGTCTGAAGTGCTTGTCATGGTTTCAAAGAGAAGAAAAGAAAATGTTAGTGCACTCTGTTCTTGTCAAACCTAACTTCTCAGTTAACTTTACAGTAATGTTCATATTTGAAGAGAAGCACTGGAGAAGGATGGGGCTTTCTACTCCTGTACCAGCTTGGAAACCCACAGGGGCAGTTCTACCCTGTCCTGTAGGGTCACTGTGAGTTGGCATCGACTCAATGGTGATGAGTTTTGTAGAGAGGTAACCCTCCACCCCCCACCCCCATTTTAAAAATTAATAATAAGGGAAATATTATGTCCAGTAAGGAAAAGCCAACCTTCACACATAATAACTCACACAATTGATTTGAGATTCTTATTAAATACGTGTTTTCACTTTGTCTCTTTCCATGGGGAGAATCAGTGTAACTTGTATGTATAATAATGGCTTAAATTTTCCTTGATTAATTTCAGGGCCCTTGGGGAAAATTTCATGTACTTTTTTTACTTTGTGCATGTAGAAGAAAGAAGCGGAGACAGCGTCCTAAGGGAGACGTGTACTGGGTCTGTTCTAGAAAGACTGTGTCCACATCAAAACCTGGACTCTCGGGCTGAATACAGCCCGGCCTTTACCCTCCTAGGGACTCTGTCTGAACACAAGGGAACTGCCCCAGAGTGGGTCATGACCATGATGAGCGTTACCAAAACAGAGCAAAAAGCAACCAAACCCATTGCTATCAAGTCCATTCTGACTTAGCGTAGCCCTATAAGGCGTAGAACTGCCCCGTGATGTTTCCAAGGCTGGAATCTTTACAGAAGTAGACCACCACCCTTCTCCCAGAGAGTGGCTCAGGGAGCGTAATTGCTTGTCTTTTAGTTATCCCTCCCCACTTAACCACTGTGCCACCGGGGTTCCTTTGGTCCTGCGTAGACCCAGCATTTTCTCACCTGCTTCGTCTGAAAAGACTCGATGAGCATGGTTTTCCTTGAGGTCCTAGGGAAAAGATATTGCCTTGTGATTTCACAGTCTTTGCAATCTTCAAAGCAGCAATATTTAATATTGCTTTTTTTTTTAGTTCATTGTTAACTAAGAGTGGGGGGTGGAGGAAATCTGTTCACCCTAAGTCTATCTTACTTGCTTGTCTAGAGCTTGTTCTTAATATTTCATGTCTCCAGCGAGTTTTTCTCCCTACAAATTCTCCTTTACAGAGTACAGCTGCTCCACAGGGTTATCAAGGGTGGGCATTTGGGAGCAAATCACAAAGCACCCCTGGATGGGTTCCCCCCATAAATTTTTGGCTAGTTATCAGTGCTGAACTGTCAGCACCACCCAGGCACTCATTGCCAGTTTTTACTGGTCAGAAATATTAATACTGTTAAAATGGATTTCTGTGCCACCATCATCTACAAATAGAGAGCTACAGAGATACGAAGAGTAGATAACCTAGAAGAAAAGCAGCCATGTTCCGCGTACCTCAAAGATATTGCTGGTGTGGTTACCGAGCACCACAATAAAGTGCATGGCGCAATAAAGTGAATTGCGTGTCTTTGGTGGGGTTTTTGTTTTGTCTTGTTTTTCTAGACCATATAAAGGTCTTGTAAGTGTGCTCTTTCATTATGAAACTGTTTGAAATGTTGTGAGAATTACCCAACTGAGATAAAAGACAAAGTAGTGAGCACACACTATCATGGTACCATGGTAAAATGGTACCAGCAGACTTGCTTGACACAGGGTGGTCACAAACCTTTAGTTTATCAAAGTGTAGTATCTGTAAAGCAAAGTACAATAAAAGAAGGTCAGCCTGTACAAAAATTTAACCCTGGGAAAAACCAAACACATTCTCAAATAACCAGGGGAAAAAAAGTGTTGTTGTTTTTTTTAATGTAGACAATAGATTTAGACATTTAACTATTTGCTTTAGTTCTATCCCTTTGGGGGAAATTTTTGTAATTAAGAAAAGCCACCATTTGTAGTTTGTAAGGAAGTAAAATATACAAGCTTCTTCTTTCCCCCCCCCACTTCATTAATATATAAAAACTTTTAACGTACACTGAGACTGCACCCCACCCCCTAAGAAAATAGGACAAAAGCTGCCATTGAGTGAATTCTGCCTCATAGTGGCCTCTATAGGGTTTCTGTGGCTGTAAATCTTTATGGGAGCAGAGAGCCTCATCTTTCTCCTGCCCTTGTTGTTAGCATTCCAGCACTTACCCACCATGCCAGCAGAACTCCCAAGACTGGGTAGCCTATAGATGCCCTCTTCTGCCATAGCAGTAGAGTAGTGTGCAAGACTGAGACAACCAACTCTTCCAGCCAGCAGGGTGGGTCTGGACAATGCCCAGGCTATTTTTGAGTTGAGTCCGCTTGTTTCTAAAACACCAACACTGCCTGCTTGCTGGGTCATCATGAAATAATGGCAAGTATACAGTCTTTCACTACATACTAATACTGCTCTTAGAAGCTAGCATTTCCTTTTCATTATCTTTACCTGTATCACATATGCCCTTATTCCCTTCGCCTCACTGAAATGGAGTAATTTAATAGCACTCTTAGCTACCCTCACTAATTTGGGGATTATTACCCATGTTTAGTAAAAATAAGTCAACTAGCTTTACAAAACTTTGTATTAAAAAAATGCCCAGATAATTTTCAGAAAGTCCTTGTTTCTCAAAAGCACCTGACAGGAGTAACTTAGAGTGGCTATGTTATTTTTTAAGTACTAGAATATTCCAGCATACATGGGAAAGAGTGTACCTGGTGGGTAGGACAGTGTAGTGTATTAGGCAGGAAAACACCAGCTGGTATATGATATAATTCCTTATTGTTCTAAACCTCTGATATTTCAGAATTTATTAATTCCCACATCAGAGTCCAATACATTTATCAGAGGACCCTAAAATGGTCTTTCAGGGGCCCAGATTGGTTTCATCTGTGCTCCACCCTCCTCTTGAGCCCTTGGAGCCCCAGCCACTCAGCTGCAATGGTAGGAAGCTGTAAGGTTCATACATGCAAGGGTCTGGCATGGAGGCGATGGACTTCACTTTCATTTAAAGGCCATTAACCAGGACTGAAGCTAACTGCAAGAGAGCCTGGGAAGCATGTGACACCTGGCAGGAAGGGAGGTGTGCTAGCCCTTATTTATACTTTCACCTCTCATAACTAAAGGTGAGCCGTGCAGTTCCCTAAAGGAAAACTAATGAAAAGTCTGCATCGGTGAGGATTCAGGAAACCTGCCAGCTCTAGTCCAACTGCACTGCTAATTAGAATCATCTCCCACTGGAGGGGGTTTCCAAGGCGATCATTATACAAAGGAATATGAAACCCAGGAAAGGTAACTGATTTACCTTCACTCATGCTCCACGTCCTACCACTTGTCTGTCCATTTGTCATACTGTGGTGGCGAGGAAGAAGTACAAGCAGAATGACCCTTTAACAAAATCATGATTTCATC